TATTATTTATTCTATTTTATGTATTATCGCTGAGTGTAATAGACGGCAATATACACAAGCACTATATGTACAACATATATTTTATAAACTCTATATTAATGCATTATAATATATATTTTATAAACTCTATATTAATGCATTACAACACATATTCTATAAAATCTACATTAATGCAGCATAATATATATAGTATAATCTCCATATATTAATGTATTCTATGTATATATATATATATATATTTCTTTTTTTATAACTCTGTACAAATGCATTATATACATTGCATATTTTTAAAAGCTTTACATTATTTATTATTTAACTTTAAAAACTTCTTTTCTTTCAAGGGCATCGTAGCAGAGATAGTGCTGCTGCTCTGAGTGTTGGTTTATTATTATTAATATCATCAAGAGACAGAAAAGATGACAGCAAATCCTTTCATTATAGAAGAGGTGCAGCAGCAGCAGCAACAACAACAGCAGCAGCAGCAGCAGCAGAAGCAGCAGGAGCAGAAGCAGCAGCAGTAGCAGGAACATTTGTTCGTGCTGCAGCAGCAATTGCAGCTTCAAGGTAGCAGCAGCAGCAGATGGAAGGCCCCAATGCTGCTTCGTGCTGCAGCAGCAATTGCAGCTTCAAGGTAGCAGCAGCAGCAGATGGAAGGCCCCAATGCTGCATGCATTTAGCGATAAGACTGTAGACAAACAATTGCTAATAAAATATTCCTATTCTTCAAGAGAAGTCTATAAATAAATAAAAATAATAATACATTTTACGTCATTAAAAGCAGATAGATAGACATAATATGCTGCACTTTCATTGTTCTGTACAAAGCAGAATTATAAAGAATTCGAAAACAAAGAAATACGCCTCTCTAGACAACAACAATGCGTCTAACATCGGGGTGTACTGACAGCAAATAGCAGCATAACTTCTTAATTGAGCTTGTTTATATTTTATAAATATATATATATACATATTATACACATACATAATAGCTTATCAAGTGCCTTATTTCTGCTGCACACAAACATTGGTGCATGCATGCATTCGTAAATCTATTTGGGGTCTGTTCAATTACTTCTATCCCTTTGTTTTCTGTTTTCATTTTTTGTATTTCTTCTAACTCACTCTTTGCTTTGTTTCTCCTCGATGCTTTTGTTTCTGTTGCCTCTGCAGACTGCGACTTCCAACGCATAATTTATTTTTTGCAAATATTTTCAATTGTCTCCATCATCTGTGCTACCAACTAACAAGGAGAAACGTATATATATATATATATATATGTATATGCATATATATACATATATATTTCTATATGTATATATATATATATATATGTGCATATATATATATGCATATATATGCATATATATATGTACAACTCAACAGGAAAAAGAACAGTGCACATATATATAAACTATTTTGTCTTATTTCTGTTTTCGATAATATTTAAAGCGAATTTCAAATTCACGTTTTTATGTTGGCGATATTTGCGGTGTATGCGCAGCTCCTGTTATTTTGGATTTTTTAAATATTAGAGATTCCGTTGTTTAATTTCTGCAGAAATATAAAAATAATTTATTTGACTTATTTTTAAACAGTGCAGCGGCATGACGCAAAGATTCGTTCGTGGACGAACGCTGTCGTTGGCGGTGTGCATAAACTCATCAGAAGGCAAGAAACGGGGGAAAATAAGAGAAAATAATTGATATTTTCCTTAATTTTCGGGTATTTATTTCAAAATAAACAATAAAAAAAGAAAAAATGAACAAAAAAATAACATTGAACTGCTTTCGTTCCATTGGTCGCTCGTTTGCAGAATTTGAATTTCGCTTTCTTTTTCTGCATTCACCGGTTTGTCCGTGAGTTTTTAAAAAGTTTATTTTTTTCTATCAATTTAATTATTAATTTATGAATTAAAATAAGAGAAATAGTGGGAATTTAAAATATATTTTCAGGTATTTCGGCTGCTTGGGGTCGTAGTGCATGCACACTCGCCCTGGGGCTTATGTTATTTGAACGGCTGCATTTTTATCGTTGTTTTGATTCTCCTCTCTCTTTTTCTTCTTTTCCATTCTCTCTGTCGGTTGTTCTTCGACAGCATTCCCCCGTTTTAACTGCTTTAGCCGCTGATCACCAACGAGGTGTACGTACACCTCAGCATGAGGCAGCGACTCTGCGATTTCGAGTAGTGTTGACGCCTCAGCTAATATATTCTCTCCGCGTATATCTGTTTACTGCTTCTCCCTGATCTTGTGCAGCTTTACCTCTGTCTTCTGTGGTGTATATACACCCCATACTGGGAGGAAATATCTCGCTTTCTTTCTCGCTAACGACTGTCGAAACAGAGAAAATATTTTACTCTGTCTCCTCTTTCAGGGAGTTGAGGCATTTGCTTGCCTTCTTAAGAGCAAAAGCATCAGTTGGGGTTTCTGTTGCAGCAGGCGGGAAGCCTTGCTGAAGGGTTTAGGGTTTAGGGTTTAGGGTTTGGGGTATTGCTTTTCTGTTGCCTCTTCTTACAAGAACAAGACCGCGATCGATTCCCTGCAGCTTTAATTGCGTTTATTATTTCTATTAATTCAATTTTTTGTTGTTTTGTTGCTTTCGGCTGTCATTCTGCAAGAAATTTGATTTGCAGTTTTAAAGGGGAATGGATGCGGATTGAACACCTGAAGAAAATCTGAAGGTTTTATTGATATTATTATAAAATATTATAATTATTGCTGGTGTTTGATAGGGTTGTGCGTACAGCTTGAGGTGTACGTACAGCTGATTGTGCGCTGTATAAGGGATGTACGACGCCGTGTATTTGATTTCGTCAAGAGGACGAGTTCTTTTATCTCGTAGCTATGGGACAAGAGAAGTGCCTGCATCTCATGTTGCAGCACTTGCACAGTCATTGTTTGTTCGGCTGTACATACAGTCTGCTCCTCCTGTTGTGTGTATAGGCGATGGAAGAGATAAAACAACATTTATATATGTTTCAGCAGGTGCTGAAGATACTGTCTTAGATTCTGAATATGCTGCAGCTTCTAATGTAGGCCTAGATGCAACTTTACGGTGTACAGACGCAGCACTGAGGCATCGTGGGGTTGGAGGCTTAGTTGCTGCTGTTGCATGCAGAAGAAATCCTAATGCAGCATTAGCAGTAGTAATGCTGCGGCGGTTGCTGCAGCTGCTGCAGGCGTGTGCAAGTCGTGCAGCTCCTTCAACTTCATTAGGGGCTCTATGCTTAAGAAAGACAGCAGCAGGAGGAGGGCCTCTTCTAAGTGAAGCCTTTATCTTACAATCTTCGGATTTAGTCTATGAAATTCTAGATGAAGCTATAGATCGTGGTGTACCTCAGACATCAGATCCTAAAGTATTGCTGCTGTTTGCAGAAGCAGCAGCAAACCTTCGCAGCACAGGAGGGGCCTCTGCTGCAGCAGCAAACAGCAGCGAAGGAGGAGTTAAACTAGCAGCACAAGCAACAGGCGTAGCTGCTTGGCGTCGTCAGGGTATTCGTTATAGACGCAATCAGCTGTCTATTGAAGTTATTGAAAAACTGCATATATTAATTGCACAGAATGGAACCGTACTTAGACAAGAAGCTGAGGGTAAAGTGCTTCTTCGCTCTTTTCTTTCAGGGATGCCAGAGTGTAAATTAATTACAAATGAAGTGCTTCCTCAGTCTGATAGACAACATCTTGCAGACGATACTCAAATACAAGCTATTACGAACGCTCCTCTTAAAGGTGCAGCTGCACAAGCAGCTAAAACACACACTGCTACCGGGCCTCCATCTCCTGCTGCTGCTCCTGCTGCTGCTTCGTCCTCTGCTGCTTCTACCTCTGCTCCTGCTGCTGCTCCTGCTGCAGCACCAGGGGCCCCTGGAAGCTCAGTTGTTGCGCAACGTGTTATTACAGAAGGAGCAGAGGGGCCCCTACCTGTGGGAGCAAAAGAAAGAGTTAAATTATCAGGATGTCGATATCACCCCTGTGTACGAGTAGCTCAGCATACAGCCGAGCGAATGATATTATTTACTCCTCCTGATGGTGAATGCGAGCTTATGAGCTACAGGCAAGTTGCAAACAACATACCTTTCTTGCTTTCTGCTGCTGCTTCTGCTGCTGCTGCTTCTGCTGGTGCTTCTGCTGCTGCTGATTTACTGTTATTATTACTTTATTTGTATTTATTTTTTTGTGCTGCCTTGGAGTTAAACTACTCTTTCTGCTGGCTTTGTCTTGTTCTGGGGGATAGAACTTAGACTGAGGAATTTAATTTTCAAACAACTGCTGCTGTCGCTTTGATAAAAAGGGCGTTTGAGGTGTATGTAGTACAGTTGAGGTGTACGTACAGCTGAGATATGTTGGGTTCTGCAGCATGATTAGTTTGTGATTGCTGTATAGTTTGTTGTTTGAGTTTGCGTTGTGTTAATGCAGATGTAAAGACGACGTAGCAGTCCCCATAAAAGTTTGCCCTTTCTTTTATGAAAAGAAGAAAGGACAGTTTGAATATTTAGTATTTCTTAAAGCATTATATTCTGGAAACTTAACGGCTCGCGATATTGAGGTGGGCGTTGGGGTGTACGTACAGCACCTCTTTCCTTTTAAACGTTATAAGAATGTAGCAAATGCATGCAGAAATATTTATCTGCTTCACTTTGCTTCCCTGTCTCCCAATAGAAATGCAAATATAAATACAAACTCTGATAATAAAAAGAAGAAGAAAAAAGAAATAGAAAAAAGGGAGACAATAAGAATACAAATACAAACCCTAACAGACGCCAAACCCTAAACCCTAAACCCTAAACCCTAGATAAGGGATATATGATTGTTTGCTGCTGCAGGTTGTTGTGCCTACCCCCCCTGAAGTGAGCGTAGTCTGCGTTTTGCAGTCCTCTTGGGGTAAATCAAAATACGACAGCTCTCAGCTCGCTGTTGTCTGGAAGTTAGCTCGGTGAGAAGAAGAAGAAAACAAACAAACTAGCAAACGCATTAAATACCCATGCATGCATGCATGCATGCACCAATGCTTGTGTGCGTGTTTGTTTGTTCATTTATTTAAGTGAAAGAATTTGATTTAAGAGTGCAGACCTGAATGTAGCGAGTGTGGGTTGAATACGAAGGAGTTGTATACATATATATATATATTATCTGTATTTCTTCTTTTTTTGTTTATCTTTGTGTTATCTATATAATGTTTATTGCATTGAAATTGTTTGTATGGGGTGTACATATTATTGCATGCGTTCATTATTACTATTACTATTCCTATTCCTATTCCTATTATTATTATTATTATTATTATTATTATTATTATTATTATTATTATTATTATTATTATTATTGTTTATTTCCTCAGGTTCCCTGGAGGTTGTGAATACGTGTTAAGGTTTCTATTAGAGGTCTCGAAGCCCCCAAGCCCTGTGCGGGGCCCTCTGCGTTTATCTTTTTCTTTGCCTGGGCTTACAGCGAGCGGTTTGTGCATTCGTCAGCTGCGCGTAGTGGAGAAGTCAAATTACTCTGTCTCTAAATCTATTCGTTATCTCACAGAGTCAGGGCAGTATGAACACAGACTTTAAACAACACAACTCATGCACAACACATATTATAACCCGACTCGCATGCAATGCATGCATGCAGCAGCATAAGCAGCATAAGCAGCAGCAGCAGCAGCGACGGCGGCGGCAGCGGCAGCAGTTTTCAAACAGCTTGGTGCTGCAGATACACAGCGAAATACAAAAACAAATACGTAAGATAGACAGATGCATGCGTCCAGCAGCAGCTGAGACTCCCTCTGCATGCATGCGCCTGCC